GGGATTCTTGATAAACTGGTTTAGCAGGATTCTTTCTAATTTGAGCTTGGCAGGCCTCAAAAGCCAAGACTTAGTTGAGAAGAGAGTTCAGAGGAGTCTATGTAAAATTTGCTCAAAGAAGTTTTGTCTGTAATAATGTCTTTTGGAGTTTAGAGTCCTTGGGTTCACTCTGGGAAAGATTTCACCAGAGCACCCCCTTTCAGTGGCACACGGCGAGATTCTCGAGACAGAGACTCAGTTATATTCAAAGAGAAAGTTTATTAGAGACGAGAGGAAAAGACACTTGCATAGGGGCAAGTGGGCAGGAAGAGCTGCCTCGAAAGGGACAGGTTTGCAGAGAGAGGTCTGCATGGTTATAGGCAGGCGGTTTTAGGAGAGCAGCCTCAACTGAGAGAGGTCAGTGCATAGAAGTCCCGGCATGGTACAGGTCTCGGGCAGGCAGGAAACTGCTGCCCTGCAGAGGGAGAGAGCTGGTGAAAGAAGCACCTGCATAGGCATAGGTGAGCAGTGGAGCTCTGTCCCGTGCTGGTGGAGAGACTGCCCTGATATAGGCAGCTTCTCTTTGGGAGGGGCTCACTCCTTGTGAGCCTAGGTTTGTTGGCTTTGAATAGAACCTGAGAGGACTGGAGGTTCCCTAGTGAGCTTCATCTCCATCTCCATTTCCTTATCTTTACCTGGGCACCAGTCATCCGGGCATTGGTGCCTGAGGATCTTGATTTTATGGGTGTGTCAGCTGCACTAGCCCCTTCTACGTGTTCCCTTTGTGTGATTCAGTCTTGTTATGCCTCCCCCTGCATTCCTTCCTCCATCAGTAAGATTAGAAGCAATAGTATCCATATGCAGTGCAAGGATTAAGTAAAATGTAATCCTACCAAAACAATAAAGTTGTATTGAACTGAAAACTACTGCTTCAGCTTAAAAATTTTAGGTTTAGGGCCCTCCCTGGGGGCACAGCGGGTTAAAGCACAGCACTAAGAAACTAAAGCCACTTCAGCATGAGTTCAATCCCCAGCCCTGGAGGTGATCTACATGGCACAACAGCCCTCTCCTGACCTGCTAGCTGTTCCCATCAGTAGTGTACTTAGTCAGTCTGCAGGTTCTGCTCCCCACTCTGTCTCTGGTGAATCCTCTCACCACCCCTGCACCTTTCTGGCTTGTACCCCAGTTCTGTATGCATAAATAAATAAATCATAAAAAAATTTTTTTAGGTTTAAGTTAATTAAAATTCAATAAAATTTAAAATTCAATTCTGTAATCCCATTAACCACATTGTAAATGCTCAATAGTTAAAGAAAAAAAATGCTTAATAGTTAAATGAGGCACCTGACTACTGTATTGGATGTGGAGTTCTAGACTTTTCTGGACTTAATTTTCATACATATGTATCACCTACATTTTGCATATATACATAAGAGTCTACCTATAGAAATTTTAACTTGAGTGTTTTCCTGGTAAGTATAACAGGATTATAAGTTGATATGTTATTGTTTTACTTGTTCTTTTGTTTACTATGTGTTTGGGAACTTATTCTATGTCATTGTACAGAAATCTACCTGTTATTTTAATGCTGTCTAGCGTAGATCATAGTATTGATATATTTCTATTCATTATAACTTCTCCTCAAATGGTACACTTTTAGATTGATTGCCTTCCAAATAAACCAATACTATCTCATTATGTAGAATGGTGAGATAGGAGAATTACTGCTTTTTGTATGTATTTGAGTACATTTCTAGGGTAAATGCTGAGAAGTAAAATTACTGCAATTTTAAAAAGGTTTTGTGGTGTAAAATATTAATAGATACTCCCACATCACCACCTAAAATGCCATATTACCTCACTCTGGGAAAGATTTCACCAGAGCACCCCCTTTCAGTGGCACACGGCGAGATTCTCGAGACAGAGACTCAGTTATATTCAAAGAGAAAGTTTATTAGAGACGAGAGGAAAAGACACTTGCATAGGTGCAAGTGGGCAGGAAGAGCTGCCTCGAAAGGGACAGGTTTGCAGAGAGAGGTCTGCATGGTTATAGGCAGGCGGTTTTAGGAGAGCAGCCTCAACTGAGAGAGGTCAGTAAGGTAGATGAAGGGGTGCCCTGGAGTCCCCAAATCTACCTACTCTAAATGGGTTGTGCCATCCACCACTTAAAGACAAAACATACTCTAGTATATGTAAGCCCTTCAATGGAAAGGAACTTAAAAACAATTAGTGTGCAATGGAGAGAGAAAGAGAAAGAATAGTTTCCATATCAAGCACCCAAAAGTTACCTATCCCCATGTGGGCAAATAACCAGCCAAATAGTGTTGGCCAAAGCAGGACCGTTGAGGAACAAAGTCTTGCTACAAGCCTAAGATAACTTCTGGTAGAGAATCGTAGAAAAGGGGCAGAAGGGGCCAGGCAGATCTGGAAGGAAAGGAGCAATATCAAAACTAAGTCAAGGTAATTGTTCCCCATGGGTCTCTCACCCACCTCTCTTTCAAGTGTCTCTTTCCAGGATCCTCAAGTCACTGGTTAAAAGCCCACGGCTATGAAGCAAGCTCAGCTTCTTCACATGTCTTTTTGCCCTATATGCCCTCTCCATGCCCTCTTCTTGAGTTCCTTTCTTCTTTCTTTCAGTCTTTTCTTGCTTTTTTCCCTGATCAGCTCCATCCCTTTTTAGGGTGGGAACCTGGAACCTCCCCTTTCCTTGGGAACTATTCTAATATGCTTCAACCATACTCTAGTACTCTTGATCCTGCATCCTGCACCTATGCACTCTTGACATTTCAAATCTTTAAGAATTTTGCCAGTATTAGGAACAAAAATAATTTCTGGTACACATTATCTTGATTAATCAGATTGAACAGCTTTTCATTAATATTTTATTTCTTAACACAATAACTATTTCTTTGAAAGGCCAAACTGACGCCATGACAGGCTTCAGAATGCTTCTAAACCAGCCATGCCCAAGTTTTGGTTATCAACAAGGCACCAAGACCGAGTTTAACTGTAAATGCCCTAATCTTGCTCATTCCATTAGCAACAGCCAGTTAGCAAATAGGCAAGTAGCTAGTACATATCAGGAAAGCACCAGATGTCCTAAGGTATGTGGGCTGAGTAGCGAAGGTCACTTCTTACATGTATAGACCATCCTGGTTAAGATAAGATAACCTTGTTCAGTGCCAACAATCAGTGTACTGCTGAGCTAAAACTCCCCTCTTCTGTAATAAAAACCCTGCCTTTCCTGAGCTCTGGGCTCTCAACTTTGGCTGCTGGGTCATGCATGTTGGGAGCCCAGGCTCAAACTTGCAATGAAGACTCTTGTGTGCTTTGCATCGAAATTGGCTCCTTGGGGGTCTTTGGGAAACTTGAAATCGGGCACATCTTCACCAAATAACAGTATTACCTAAAGACAGTATATACTGTGTTTTTGCTTTCCTTGTTCTTTTTAACTATAGAAAAGCTATAATAATTTTGATTACCTTATGGTCAGGTTGTTAGGGGTCAATTTTAATTAACATCTTTATGAACACAGTCATTTGCATTACTATTTTCTACAATTTACTGAACTGCTCAAAGACAGTGAAAAACTAAGATAAAGAATGATTGATGGACTCCCTAGTATGGTAAGCCACACCAACACCTAACTGACATTCTGTTGAACATCCAACAATTTTTCACTTTTTTCTTGACAGATAACACATTTAAAATTCTAGCACATTGTCCTGCTCATACGGGAGTTCAGTAAAATAAATTTCCACACTGAAGAATGTAAAACAAGGCAATTAGAAATTTATATTTTTCCCTTTTTTAAAGAATTGTAGTTCTTTGGTGACATATGTGTGTGTGTGTGTATACATATATACACACATACATGAATAAATAAAACGTTTTTGTTTTGGGGGCTTGCAAAGTACCTGAGAGCATTTTTTGATGGGTGTTCAGTAACTGTTTCATTGAAATGAACTGTTTGTGTTCTAATTCATTTTCCCTATCTAGGGAAATACCAGAAGAAAAATTGGTTTATTTGACTTAGTTATTAATTTTTAGACAAGGATTAGAAAATATATATTTATTTTAAATACAGAGAATGGCTTCAGAAGGCTAGACTGTTTCCTCTCATAGTCCAAATTGCATGATATAGTGTAAAAAAAATTCCTATTTTATATTCATGGAAAATGCAATTTGGTTGTATTCAGTCTTAAGACATGATTATGCTGTTTCTCACTGTGAATGGTGATTTTTATGAACAATAAAACCAGACTAGCATTTTCACATACATTATAGCCAGAATAATCCATTGCTTTAAAACCAATTTTTGGGCCACTTTTTGGATTTGGTATTTAATAAACATTTATTTTTAAATAACTGAAAAAATACGCAGTGGTTACTGTAGACTGTAAAATGGAGAAGCTTAGCTTTACTGTGGTGTCTGAATCAGGGTGTAACCTAACTAGCTAGAGGATATGCAATTCCTGATTGACAGCAGGACCAGCATTATGCAGATTTTTTAAGGGAACTGCAGCTCAGAAACCGTGATTAAGAGGCTCTGTTAGGAATCACCACATTCACCACTCAAATCTTTAGTTTTTCATTTTCCTGCCTACTGGATTTGTAAACAAATAGCACAAAACAGTTCCTCTTTTGTTTTTATTAAAGTACTGCAGTGCAGTTTCAGTCTATCAGCTAGGCATACATGTGTGGAAATTTGATATTCTCAATAAATTAGCTAATTTTTAAATGGCTTTCATGCTTATCTCTAGACCTTTGTATATTAAATTCTATCTCGAGCTGTTCTCTTTATACACAAGTGTTTTACTTGTGCCTTCCTGTCTTCTTCAGTGAAGCTTTATGTAGGTCAGGCTTGGCTTAAGCAGATTTCCTGAACCTGCGTCAGCTTAAGCTGGAGGAATTTTAATAAACCCTCCCCTGTAGGCGTGGGCCTAAATGAGGCTAGCCTAGTTAAGCCTGATCTTTTTCTGTTTGTGAAAAGAGCTGAGCAGAGCTGAAGGCTGCTTGGTGGTTTCAGAAACTGCCTACTTAATTTGAAAGAACAATGGTAGGAAAGGCTAGATCATCCAATTTTACCTTATCTGAGAAGCTTGATTTGCTAAAGCTTGTGAAGCCATATGTTAAAATTCTCGAAGAACACACTAATAAACATTCAGTTATAGTGGAAAAGAATAGATGTTGGGATATCATAGCAGTTAACTATAATGCAATTGGAGTAGACCGTCCTCCTCGAACAGCGCAGGGCCTACGCACCCTTTACAAAAGGCTCAAAGAATATGCCAAACAGGAGCTATTGCAGCAAAAAGAGACCCAATCAGATTTTAAAAGCAATATTTCTGAGCCAACCAAGAAAGTTATGGAGATGATTCCCCAGATTTCCAGTTTTTGCCTGGTAAGAGACAGAAACCACATACAAAGGTAAGCTTTATTTTGTTTTGTTCTGGAAAATTATGGCGCCTCCTATCTATTGGGCTCTGGCTTAGTTGTGATAGATGCATAGCAAGCATCCCCACAACGGGAGCAATGAATAGTGTCTTTGTTTTGCATTCTTAAAAAAGAAAAGTGAGGCTAAAAGGAAATTTTCTGCTGCATTTGATTTAAGCCACTTTTTATTGTCTTCTCTCTCCACTATAATTGCTAAAAAGTACAGGTTAGCGATGAAATTTGTGACCTCACCTCATAAAACTTTTTAAGCTTTAAAATTAAATTATTTAATTAGCTTTGAGAGATACTTTTATCTTATTTTCTCTAAGACCACATTTCAGTGGACTTTTCAATTTTATATATAAAGTTAACAGTTTTAGGAGAAAGACATCTTGCCATTGAATATTCATTGAGCTAAAAAACTAAAGCCAGTAATTAAATTTACTAATGTCATGACTGTCTGTTAAAACAGTTAATTATTTTTCTAACATATTCAAAGTTAAAAAGATAAATACAAGGTAAAGAGTTAATGCTGGTTAAGAGTTCACAGTATTTAATAAAATTAGAAGTTTTTCTTGTCATTCATTAATGGTCTAGTTTCATTTAGAAATTGGATCATACAGAAAAACTGTTTTGCAAGGACATTAAATTATGATTTTTAGGACACCAATAAGAGTAACTGGGTTGTTACAGAGTTAGAAACAGACTTTTGGTTAATTTTGTGCTTTATGTAACTACTTGCCTGGGATTCTTCAAATTTTAACCCCTGACAAAAGAGAAAAGTGGCATCAACATGCTTCAGAACCATTTTGGGTATTTTTTTTTTATTTTGGGTATTTTAAACAAATAATAAATTTTGTTAATTGAAGGACTTTTCTAACAAAACTTTACAAGGTTCTTATTGCTAGAAGAGTCATTATATAAGCAAGATTATTGCTTACCTGTAAAATCCCTTTGAAGTAAGGAGAGAAATTGGAAAAACCTTTGCAGCCACACATATTTGTTATTTTAGTAATTTACTAAGATAATTTTTTTGCACCCAGCTTTTTACCAGAGACTGCTTATTTCTAGTTGATAATGTAGTAAAATCATTCACCTTGGGAACTTAGTATATGGATACACAGTGGGGTTACTGCATAAAATAGACAAATGTTTAAATCCTAATAAGCTGGATGTCCAGAAACTCCACAGGAAGACTTTTATACTGTGTTACTCATTAAAAAAAAATTTTCCCCTCAAACAACAGAGAAATGTGGCCTTCACATTTCTATTATGAAACTTTTGGGTAGAATAGGCTTTCATAATTGGAAAACCACAGGTGTTAACTGTAGTTTTTAGTTATTTGCATATTTTAAAAGTACAGTGAGTAGAGAAGACAAATAGTATATAATATATAGTCATCTATTTACATTTGACACCCCTAACACCTTACAATCGCTTTGGGACACCAGCATTTCTGTGATAAAATGAGTTAATCTTATCACATATTTTTCTCTACCTAATGTTAGAACAATAGATTTTAGAGGGAAGAATATTAGAAATAAGTCACTGAAATGCTTAATAAATTAGTGTGTCTATACTGCCATTTTATCTAGTGATTTCATTTTATATATGTGTCTAATGTGCTTATACTTACTTGATTTACATCACCTTGAATCTTAGTCATCCTAGAAGTTAATGGTTCTGTGATTGTAAGTATGCTTTCATGTAAATAGGTGATTTAATTCACCAAACTATTCTTAACAAGGAAAAAAATCACTTAATGTACTTAAAAATATATGCCTATATAAGCATACCCCATTTTATAAGGTACCCCATTTTATAAGGGTACCCCAAATCCATTGATTTGTCTTTATTTTTACTCTCTAATATGAGATTATATTCTGCATTTCTATAAACTATTTGATCCTCACAGTTCATAAATTTTAGAAGTCTCTCTAAGGCATTTTTTTTTACTTTGTTATACTTATATTATTTCAACTAAAATGGAATGGGATATTCTATATGTAAGCATATTTTAGATATATATAGGCATATAGTGTCTAATGATGAATCTTATATTCTGATATATATTTATAAACATACACATTAATCTGGAATAGTAATAATGTGGGTTTTTTAAAATTTAATTTTCATCTGTAGTTTGAGAGATATTAATAAAAGCAAATCTTACTAATTTGAGTTACGTTTATAACAAAAAAAGCCAAGAATAAAAATTAAGGAATTTAATCTACAAACGTATTTTTTCATAATATCCTATGTATTATTTATCTCATTTGTATCCTTTCGCCAAATCTGCTATTTTTAGCAATTTCATGCGTTAGTAAGTGACATATGGGAAGTTTAAATTTCCCCCCTTATGTTAAACTTGTTCCAGATTTTAATCATCCATATAGAATGGTATTCTTAACTGTTTCTTGTCATTTGTAAAATATCCTCTAAATAATGTAAAGTATAGCATTTTTCCATTGTCTTTCCCTTCTACAACTTATTTATCAGATAGAAGCAAAAATGTAAAAAACAAACCTCAAGAAATAAGATTATACTTATTAAGTTTCCTGTTATACATGAAATTATGAAATTATATTTTAACATGGTAGAATTGTAAGGTATTACACTGCATTTATGTCAACAAATATTGTTATGTTAAGGTTTAAATCATGTAGTTGCTACTAATAGGACTGCATATCTTATGGAAATTACATGTAAATTTAATAAACTTTCAATATATCCACAAAATCACTGCATTAAAAAAATTTTATTTTTCACTCATTTGACATATCATGAGGACCTGCTAGGTTCCAAGTACATTATTATGTGAGGCATAATAAAATAAAGACAAGAATGAAAATGAAGGAATTTAATCTGTAATAGTTATAAACCTTTGCCCTTATGAAGTTTGTGGTGCAGTGGTCAAAACATTAACAGATCATCTTGAGTTATGTGGATTTACCTACACTTATTTTGGCAAACAGAAATAAGTGTGTAGAGTTCTCACATATGGCCTGCTTTTATCTTACTAGAAGTCATGATCTAAATACTTTTGAAGTATTTAGATCAGTTCAGGAGACTAAAAGCAGGAGGTTTGAGGCTGAGGTGTGGAAACAGCAAGGCCCAGAATGCATGACATGTCCCTTTTAAGAACCTGAAATTTACATGAATATTGCTGTCTCTAAATGTTTTTTCTTTTTTCTTCATCTCACTGACATTGTATAGTGTTTATATAATACCCTGTTCTTTCAAGAGCCCCATTTTAAAGTTAAGAATGGGAGAGAGAGCCCTCCCTGGTGGCTCAGCAGGTTAAATCACAGCACTTAAAGCTAAAGCCACTTCAGCACGATTTTGATTACCAACCCCTGAGGTGACCCACATGGTGAGGCAGACTCTCCTGACCCGCCCGCTGCTTCCCGCAGCAGTGCATTTTGTCAGTTGGCCTGTTCTGCTCCCCACTCTGTCTGGTGAATCCTCTCACTGCCCCTGTACCTCTGGCCTGTACCCCAGCTCTGTATTCATAAATAAATAAATCTTTAAAAAAAAATGGGAGAGAGCTATATTTTTATATTATTGAAATCTTAATTAAACATCATCACTTTTTGTTATCCAAGAGTTAAATTTTTTTGTTTCATAATTTTTATAGCTTTAAAGTATAATTTAATATATTACATATAAAATTATTCTATATAAGTACATGTACACATAAGCATCTGTCTTCATTTGATTCATGTTTTATAATGCTTTTTTGTGTGCTGTAGTGCAAACTTGGATGAGGAAGCACAGGCTGGTACCAGTTCACTACAGGTAATGTTGGAACACCATCCAGTTGCTATTACTGTGGAGGTGAAGCAAGAAGAAGATATTAAGCCACCTCCTCCATTGGTTTTAAATTCTCAACAGAATGATACTTTAGAGCAAAGAGAAGACCATGAATTAGTACATGTTATGGAAAGATCTTTGTCGCCATCGCTTTCCTCAGTTGATATGAGAATGACATCGTCTCCATCTTCTATCCCAAGGAGAGATGATTTTTTTCGGCACGAGAGTGGAGAACGCTTTAGGTCACAATTAGGGTATGATCCTCAGATTCTGCAAATGCTGAAAGAGGAGCATCAGATAATTTTAGAAAATCAAAAAAATTTTGGATTATATGTTCAGGAGAAGAGGGATGGATTGAAAAGAAGGCAGCAGCTAGAGGAAGAACTGCTAAAAGCAAAAATTGAAGTGGAAAAGCTAAAAGCTGTTCGCTTACGGCATGATCTATCTGAGTATAATAGTCTCTAGGATTTTTTGTTTTCTTCAGTCTTACAATTTGAAAATTTAAATTTTGAAATTATATTATTTTTATTCAGGAATATCCTGAACCAAAATACATATTCTTAACATATATTGTTAATATCTATTATGAAAAAGATTTGACATGACTTCTAGTTATTTAATTTTCTTTTGGGATATATTAAGACAGATTTGATTGGCATGGTTATATGCTATTTTTGTCTTCTCCCTTTTTCCTAAAGTTTTATTGTTATCCTTTCAAAAAGTGTTTTATTTTGATCATAAAAATTAGCATACATAGATAGAAACCAAATATATACATATTTTTTCAAATTTCTTATTCAAGATTTTTAATTAGAGCTATGAAAGCTATAATTCAAGGTTTTTGAGTCATTCAAATTTAGAAGCAACATTTGCCTAGTAACAGAAACTTGTTGATATGACATTGATTTTTATGTTTTCAATATTTGAAGGAGCTAAGTCCTAGGATATTAGAGATAGAAGGTATTTGGAGAACACATTCTCACCTCTCCACTTTATAGATAATAAAACTGAGTTGCAGGGAGAACTTAAGTGACTTGACGCAACAAAATGATTTATGGCAGAGCAAGGACTAGCCTTCAGTTTTTGTTTCTCAAACTTTTCTCCTGTTATTCTTTAGAAGTAAAAACCCACTAAAATCTTCTTATTTAAAAATTGGATCTATATATTTCGTTAAAATTGCTTTTAAAGATTGATAAGTTTATGAAATCTGGAAAGTTGTATGCATCATCCAATGTCTCTCTTTTTATCTATTAAAACAAGCTGTTCTTTTGGAGCTATTACGTTATGTTGATAGTAAGATTTCATATATCTTAGTTCACTTAAAATCTTACTCTGGAAACTGCTTTCATGGTAAAAACCACAGTAAAAATTCAAATGAGTAAGGTTAAAATTTTACTTAGAATAAAATTGGAAAAAAAATTGTGTTTATAATGTGTGATATCATCAGTAGTCATATATTTTGTTAAACTGATATGTTAGTATTTGTGGAAAAAATAAAACCTCAATTCCTGTTACACATATTTAAATTTATGATAAATTTTCAAAGTGTATTTTACTTAAAGATTTTAATTTTCTGCTGGAGCCCTTGTTGAATTTTTGAGCCAGATTTTAGAATGGGGTAGGTAGAATTTCAGCAATGTGGGAAGAAAGGATGTTTAAGGGTAAATAACTAGAAAAAAGGCATGGGGGAGAACCAATCAGAATGTGCAAGTATAAAAATAGCGCTAACTCAGGTGATTTAAATGTGTGTGGAGAGAACCAGTTAGGGCTGTAAGAACATGGATAACCCCTTGATTAAAGGGGTTGCTATTCTTCAGCTACTGCTTGAATAAGCCAGAAATCTGCATTTTTATTTGCTATTTTACATTTTTTAAATGGTTGTGAATAAGACAAAGTGTTCCAAAAAAATTACTACACAAATAAAACTTGTGAATGGAACTCATTTAGCCGTTGGGGCTTATGACCTCCAGAATAGAGTAATTGTTCAAGAGTAGACCCTGATCTCTAAAACTTCAGAACTTGTGATTCAGAAACTCTGGTGGGAAGAACCTAGAATCTGCCCTCCAGAGATTTAGCTGAAAGCTAAAATTTGAGAACCATTGGAGTCGAGTATTTTGAAACCTAACTTGTTGTCTAAACCATACTAGATTTAAAAAAAAAATTGTTGAAAAGAGGAGTTGAAGGGGTATAAATTTGGAATTTGGTTGATGCCAGATTATGGATTATATTAAATGCTTTTTTTGAGGAATGTGAATGTACAGTAAGAAACCATTAAAGGCTTTTGATTAGGGAGCTATGACTAAAGTCCTGAGTTAGTGTTATAATAATAGGATTTAGGGATAGTCAGAAGAAATGAAGAAACAAAAAATTTAGTCTATGGCAGTAGATATGAAATGGACACCTATTTTTAACTTGTTGATGACTTCATTTTGACTGAAATAAAAAGGCATTTTATATCTGCTAGAATTATTATAAAATGCCTTGAATATATAATGTTATACATCCTTTTGACAATTTCATCTTTTAGCTGTGCATGACTTTTCTTTGAATCTAAGAATCTTATGATTCTAACTTGGTTAATGTTTTTATAATATAATTTTAGTAAATTCATCTTTATAGTACTATGTTTATTATTGAAATTATTATGCTTATTATACAGTACTATGCTTATTTGAAATTAATGAAACAAATTACAATATGAAATTAAATCATACTGTAATCTCACTGTTACTACTTAGAATTGAAGATGATTATTTAATTTGAATGTTGATTTGGTGCTGCTAAATCTGAGTTCTGTGTTCAAAATAGTATAACAGACTTTTTTTGTGATAAGATCTAAAATCAATGTGGAAGGTAAACACATATATAGAATTGCCCTGAAAATTCTTTTGCTGCCAATACAATAGTGTCATATTTTTCCCAGCATTGATAAAGATAGTTGTTTCTTTGGTTCTGTCAAGTGACATTTATTGGCATTAGGAACTGAGTAGGATAAAAAAAAAACAAACCTTACTTTTCTGTATTTGTAAACAGAATTGTACTCATTGGGGTAAACTAGAGCAGCAATTTTCCTGAGTTAGTCTTGTTTGGTTTTAATTTGCTCTGTCATATAGTCACCCATGTAACAGTAATTAGCATAATAAAGTTTATGAGAATTCCTATTTAAAGGAAACTTTACTTATTTGACCACTTTTTGAAGGATGTTTATTATTATTATCAAGGAAATTTTGAGCTAATGCTTTTTTAGGGGCCAGTTAATTAGACTTTTGAGTCTTTCGACTTAACAACCTATATTAGCAATTTTTATGAGGACAGATTTCACTAAAGGGAAATTATAGGAGCAAATTTTGCTAGTACTAATGGAATACAGCCAAATTTCCGCATACCCTATATAGGATAGAAAACTATGGGACTATGAGATTTATCCATAAACTGTAATGCTGGGAGAACAGGGCATGATGATTTTATATTTTAAATGTAGATTTGATTCTGTGAAATACTTTGTTTGAAATTACAGTAAGTCAAAAGATTATATCATCTAGTATGTTAGTAATTTAGATAGTGGATAGGTTCTTCCAATTTTACCCATATGCACTCAAATGAATACATTTACTTTTATAGCTTCTAATTTTTTAAACTTAGTTTGATTTATGACATCCTGAAAGAATTAATGAAACCCTTTAATATCTAACAAATGCCAACAGATTTCTTAAAATATTCCAATGAAGCTTTTTGTGTATGTGTGTAGTAAGACATAAATTTGGTATTATTTCATTTTTGAAAGGTTCACTTTGCCCTCTTCTGTATTTATGTGAGAATGTTTAAAATATGAATTATTTTCCTGTGCCTTCTTTTAGAGTAATATTAATTTCTAAATAGACATTTTAAAATTTAGATTGTAGTAATTTGTGTTTAATGTACTATAGATAATGGTGGCTGGATGCTTTGTTAATATATATTCTTTTGAATACAAGGTAATAGTTGTACTGATTTGTGTACTCTGTGCACCATGAAACAAAGATTTAATTAGTACTACAGAGGCAAAATTTTTGATGAGGCATAACTGAAATTTATATAGGCTGTTTGTTGTAATAGGTATCAAATGTACTAATTATATATTTTTTCAAATGTTAACAAGACCTACAAATTCTCAAAATCAATTATTTGATGGTGAAATTGATTGTAAATATTTAAATTATTAGATGAAATATGGTTGTAATACTTAAAGGATAAATTCTTAATATGTAATCTAACTAAACATAAACATAGATGCTACATACTTTGATTTTGAGAGATTGGTTCAATATATTTTTATATATTAAATTGTTTCAAAACTGGTACCTATAATTTGAATTTATTTTTAGTTTTAAATTTTTGCTTTGTAAATAATGAAAGGAAATTAATTAAAAATACCTTTCAAGTTTGCTTAGACAGTTAAATTAGTAGATTTTTAGTAGATCTGTTGTACTTTAAAGGTGTGTGAATTTGTGTCTGTTAACAAAGACTAAAAAAACCCTTCAAACACAGGAGTTAAGAACTTTATTGTAATCATTCATATACCTATTACTTAATTTCTGCAGTATTTGCTTTCTACATATTTACCCATCTGTCCATCAATTCATTTTTTAAAAGAAAAATTCTAAAACATTGCAGCATTAGTTTGAACACCTAATCCCAAAATATTTCAGCATAAATATTATAAGCTAGAATTCAATACACATACATATTTTTTTGGTTTGCCCTTTTTAGATTGTGAAATGCACAAATTCAGTTGACAAATGACTACACCTTGTAGTTTAAAGCTCTTTCTAGATTGAAGGGCTTAAACCTCTATCAAGATTTAGATTTATCCTTACCCTAGACTATTCGCTTCTGCCTTAGTCCTAATCAAAGCTCTAGTGACTCCTCAGGCAATCTCTGTTCTAATTTAAAAATAGAAAAAAAAAAAAAACAACCAGGTAAATTCTATCCTATCCTAGTTTCACCTCATTGGAATAATATACTATGTACCTTTATTTCTGTTTTCTTTCATCCATCTTAATTTTCTTTTATACACATTCAGCCATCTTAGTAGTTTTTTGCTTTGTGTTACTGAAAGTATTTTTCCACTGTAACACAGTTTACTCACCCATTGTCTTTTGATTGACTTCTGGGCTTTTTGCAGATTTTGGTTGTGATGTATAAAGGTTTTATGAATAATCCTGTCAGATTTTGTTATGGACATAATATTAGGTTAGGGAAGATAAACATTTATCTATTTAAAAAACTGCCACACATTTTCTCAAAGTGATTGTGCCATTTTACACTTAATGGTGTATGGACTATTGTTTTCAATAAAGCTTTGCATGTTCAGTGATTGGAATGACAAAATTCATAAATAACTTTGATACTTAAATTCATTAAAGTGCTGGGCAGATTAGGTATCTGGTAATATAGTTTAACTTTTTTTTTAATTTTTAATACTGTATACATACTTTGACTTGAAGTTTAAAAAAATGTGATGGAATGTAAAATTTCTGCCATGCTTGTAAAGTATCACTTTGAAAATGATCTTTAATGCCAAGAAATATCTTCTAGGTTTATTTTACACATAATTGTACTTAGCTAACATTCAGTCTCTTACAGGTAAAACCATA